ATATGTCGCTAATGGATTTTCGCCCGATGACTCAGACGAATCTGACTGGGACATTGATGATGATAAAAATGTTGTGTCACCAGATTGGGATGACGGAGCATATGAGGAGGGAAAAAAGGATGACTCGCTAACTTGGTACAAAGGAACTGACAAGTGCGGGGGGATTTCTGGCATCGGGGTGTAGGTGACAAATACGAGGAGACTTACACAGACCCTGACCAAAACTTGGAGAAGAGTGATGATGAGACTGTCCTTGATGATGATGCCAAACGAGTGCCGAATGAAATTTTTAAATTAATAATGGAATTTTTGCCCGCGGACCGCCTCGCAAAGACAGAGGCAATATTACGCATCACTTTGTTTCTGCGTCGGCAACAAAGGGGTGAGGGTCAGGACACGCAGGGAACTGACAACACTCAAGACAGCGACTTTGTGCCAGACTCGCAAGAACCAGCGGACAGTGACTGAAAATGTGTTTTTTGTGTATTTGTGTATTTGTGTATTTGACCCTGTGAGTGACACCGTCCAAATTTGAGGAAAACATTTAGTTAGTTGACGGCGGGGTAATGTTAGTTAGTAGTTCTCTCACTAAAGGGGCGGGAATCCTATATTTTGTTTTTAGATTAATGCTGGTAGAATGCCCGAGGGAGGCTTTGTTGCGCAGCCTTGGATTCCTCATGGGCCTCCCGGACTAGGCGCTCTGCCAGCTCATACCGCTCGGACACTTCCTGGAGCTTTTCTTGATAAGTCTTACTCTGGAACACAAGTTCTTTCACAGCCAGATCTTCTGGATAGGCTGGCTCGAACCCATTGCGCATCAAAAAGGGGCTAATAGTCGTCCCGGGGATGAACTTTTTGTTGTAACTGAATACTATATACGGTAGGACTTCATCCCAATTATCATGAATCGCGTTACTCTTGCCTAATGCAATACGCAAAGACGATCCCAAATAACGGTGAACACGTTCCACCGGGTTGCTCTGAGGGTGGTACGGAATAGAATACCCGAACCTGACCTTAAACAACTCTAAAAAGTTTTGCATGAGCTCATTTTTGAACTCGGTCCCGTTGTCAGAAACAACGGAGCCCTTTACTATTTTTCTTCTGCCACCCTTAACGGAGACCAACCGAGAAGGCAAAAGTCCTTGGAGAACAATGTTCTGTACAAAAGCTTCAAGCACATCAACTGCGCTCTTTGACTTA